AAAGTCTTAATTGAGGGAATGTCAAAAGTACATGTAAAGGTGATGATGAATAAGAAAAAAAAATTAGAGGTTATTTAAGGGGGGGCTACAGATTCTAGAACTAACATGATTTCTCTGCATGTATGTTTGTTTGCATAATGACCCCTTTATTTTATACTTGGACAAAAATACTATAAGCCCACTACACTTTTTCATGAGAGTGGGATGTATGATTGTTTATATGATGAGCCCTTTATTTTGATATTGGGACAAAAAGTCACTTCATTCAAAACGTCAAACATCACATTCTTTCTGCCCTGTGTGTTTGTTGCAGAGAATTTATGTTGTAAATTTAAATGATTATAAATTAGAGAGCAAAATTTATATTTTCAGCGGTCCAACACATGCTTTATTTTGTGCTGTAAGCTAACCTGTAGTATTCCAGTACTTCACATGTTGTATGTGCTTTAAATTGTATGTATTCTGTAAATTGTTGTATGGGGATGCTGAGATTTTATTGATTGTGACCCAAACTGTGATGAAGTGGGTTTGAAATTTTGGTCATGAAATCTGGGATCAGAAAACCATGGACAAAGGTTTTTACCTGTGTTGATATGACTTTTGGGAACTCAAATTGACCGGTCAAAATTTTGCCATGCCTTTAACATGGAGTAGTATAAATATTTTGAGTCTTTGAGAGTTCTGACAAATGCAGGTGATACCATGTCTGTGTAATCTGGTCCAAATGTTCTATAAGCGTATAAGAGAGAAATTCTATTGACAGGTTACATATGTTGCAACTGGTTAATGCAAGTGTTATACAAATGTTTAAGTCAAACGCGTTACATGGCCGTACGGGATCCCTTCTTTAAAAAATAAAAAATAAACCCTTTGGTACCAAAACTCTTAAATAAATCTGATACAAACTAAAATTGGTATACCTTACAATAATATGTTCTGAATACAGCTGTTAGAAGTTTATTCTGTGTGAATGGAGATTGTGATGAATGTGTGTTTTGGGTACTCATTTTGAAGTATGCAGTTTAATTGTCATGTATGTTAATGGGTATTTTGCTGTGTTATTTTAAATTATATTTGAATACGTTTGTCTTAGTATTGATACAGATGGAAATGGCAGCGTTATAATCTATTAAATAACTGATTTATTATTGAATACTAGTCCAAGAGCAATATGAGTTGTAGTCTTAAGAAAGAAAAATTTGATTTCCAAAATTCTGTTGCAATAATGGACTTTTTGCCAAAATTTGACTTTCCTGTCCAGTTGCCAGGTTCTCTGAGCTAATCTTAAAGCAGAACTGCTTGCATAGTTTGCAGACATGCATAATGCACAAACATGGGAACCTACATTACATGTTTTAATTTGTTTTGGATTGAGTTAATTGCCTGTCCATGAATATGCTTTTTGTATTGGCATGTCTGCTGGATATCTGCTAATTTCGTTGTGTTCTGTGTTATAAGATGACGTGTGATATTACAATGAGTATGAAGAATATTTAAAGAATATTTGCATGTCATTAATGCAAGCCTTTAGTGTCTTTTTACAACAGATTAAAAAACGCTGATCAGCCAACAAGAAAGATCTGGGAAAGAAAAAGAAAAAAATAAGATCTGCTTTTCAAAATCGTGGATCCACGTTTCTAATTGTAATTGGCTCTCTCTCTTCGTATTATTAAGGGAGTATTTAGAGTTAACGCTGCTGTTAAAGTGCATTGCATTATTTAAGAAAAATATATATTTTTTTTTATCTTTAACATAAACAAGTGTTATGTTATATGGTTATATAACAAAACAAATTATGGATGTATAGGATAGGTTTTTTCCAAGATTAAGATTCATCTAGTATGCCTCATTGATTATAGCAAAATGATGAAATGGTATTTTTAATAGAGATCCGATAATTTCTTTTGAGGCAATTCTAAACTACTGTATTATATTTGTATTGGTATATTGAAAGCATTTTGCAGACCCAGAAGAGAATAAATAATATAATAATTATAAAAGGAACCATACTATGGGAAGAGGTCACCCTATTAAATCGCTAAGGGGTTAAACTCATTTTTGATAAGCATATAAAATTTAGTTTTTGTGGTTAGACTTTTGATACTCAATTTGAACTCAATTGAAGTATTACAACCATATCCTTGCAGGTATAGGAAACAGCTGCAAAAAAAAAAAGGGGGTTAGGATCAGCGCTTGGTGCTATACAGGGCGGTAAGTGAAGCTGCAACCTATGGGTATGAGGTTCCCTCCAACGTCCTCAAGAAAGAAATGGCAAAAAACACAATGATAGGTCGCGCTAAAAAAGTGAAAGGATAAATATAAATATAAATAAAATAGTAAATGATAGAAAAATTATAAAAATATATATATGTAGATTTACTCACATATAAAAAAGGCAAATAGAGAATAAAAGATAAAAATGTACATAAAAGTCCCAATATATGGTAAAATACTTGTAAGTTCCAATGTATGGTAAGATTCTAGTAAGTTCCAATAGAATAATGCAGGCTTGATGATGAAGTCAATGGGAAGTTTTAGATCTTCTATAGCTGGGGGAATCTTGACTCAATATCGAACATATAAGTAGAAGAAAAAGAGAATTCCAATAGTGTAATTCTGTGATGAAATTGATAAAATAAGAAGTAAGGGAGGTATTTCACTCACCTATCCAAGAGCGTGTACTCGCTCTAGTGTAGTTGGCATTCAGTGGCGTTGACCCCCCACTGTCGGGATATAGGTGTGAATGATTCCTCGGTATGAAAAGAGAGGTAGAAACCAAATATAGTGCTCACTGTATAATAACAAGTAAGTCAGAGAAGTAAAAGGCGTACTTACATTTATCTGAGCAGGGTATACTGCTCAGTTTAATGGCGTAGGTGGTACAATCCCCACTTAGGATTCTTTGAACGATGGTCTGCTCCAAAGTAACGTGTAACCAGGTTAAAAAATAAATAAAAATAAAATAAAAGGTATATGGCAAATAAATAGTAAAAAGGCCAATATTCCTTTATTAATACAGTAAAAATATATAGCAATAGCCAAAATACAGTAAAAATATATAGCAATAGCCAAAACGCGTTTCGCCACACAGGGCTTTATCAATTGGCAATAGGAAACAGCTGCAATATGATTTTAATATTTGCAATATATTAGTGTTCTGACAATGGAAAAGTACCTAACCACACGTCTGCATTACACCTATGACCCAGACTGTCAGTATTGCAAACCCTATATGAAGACTCTGCTTTCACTGTTTATGTATACACCCCTAGACAACCGTGCTATACATGCACAATAAATCTTCAAAAGCTTATTAATATTATATCTGTGTGTACACAAAGAGGTGTACACAAAGAGGGGGTGTGAGTTAGGTAATCTCGACCTGCATATGGAATATGCTTCCTCCTTGTTCACTTTTGGTCAAACTGTTGGTCTGTGACTGGCCCTCTTTGACCCCAACTGAATTTCTTGGGAAGATTCATGAGAAAGATACGGCAGGTTGTTTTGATATAAAGAAAGAGGGAAAAGTATGTTGTATCGGTCACAAAAGGATTGTGATCTTAAGCAGGCGAGACAAGGACATTTGGGAGGTGATAGGAGATTGAATCAGAAAAGTTTTGAAAGCAGAGGTAGGGGATTTGATCAAAGGATCTAACTTTTGTAGAGTGGTAACTACCATGATGCTCAAATATGAAATTGTAGAATAACTATTAATGCATAGTTCATCTGCATTTGCAATAATGTTTCATTGTTCTACTGTGGTCCTATAGCAATGGGTTTGATAGACAAGTATAAATCTTCTTAAGAGTAACATCAACAACTAGGAGGTACAGAACACTTAAAGAATTATATATATATATATATATATATATATACACACACACATACATATACACACAGTCAGGTCCATAAATATTGGGACATCAACACAAATCTAATCTTTTTGGCTCTATACACCAACACAATGAAATGAAACAAACAAGATGTGCATTAACTGCAGACTTTCAGCTTTAATTTGAGGGTATTTACATCAAAATCAGGTGAATGGTGTAGGAATTACAACAGTTTGTATATGTGCCTCCCACTTTTTAAGGGACCAAAAGTAATAGAACAGATTAAGTGTCATAAATCAAACTTTAATTTTTTAATACATGGCTGCAAATCCTTTGCAGTCAATTACAGCCTGAAGATTGGAACGCATAGACCTCACCAGACGCTGGGTTTCATCCCTGGTGATGCTCTGCCAGGCCTCTACTGCAACTGTTTTCAGTTCCTGCTTGTTCTTGGGGCATTTTCCCTTCAGTTTTGTCTTCATCAAGTGAAATGCATGCTCAGTCATAACATTCCACTTTTTTCCCTTCAAAAACTCTTTGGTTGGGGGGCGGAGCCAGCAGCTGCACAGAATCGACGTGTCTATCAGGAGCTCCGTTCAAGCCGGGGAAAATCAAGCTGTTCCTGCCCAATTTACCCTACCACACCAGCCTTACCAACTTCTTAAGACGATGGGGCGCAAAAGCAAAAAATACCGGACGGAAAAACACCCAAATACCGCCGACATCGGCAAACTTTTGTGGAGGCCTCAAGCATCCCTGAGACCTGTCATGGCGCCGCTCTCTGACGCACCGTCCAGATCATCCAGCGAAGACTCACTCTCCAACCTGGAAATGATGGCGGAGACGCAGAGAGCAGGCAAGACTAAGGCACAAAGCAACCCTCCAGTCACTGAAGACCGACTGAAAGTCCTCTTGGATGATCTCCGCCGACATATCGCGGCAGACATCAATTCATTCAAAGAGGAAATTCATGGGGTGTCAGGGAGACTACATGACACAGAAATCAACACAGCAGCACACGAGGCCCGCATTAATAGCCTTGAGAGCGAGCTGACTAAGACCAAGAACAATCTAATCCAAACCCAGCACCAAGTTGCAGCAATGGAAGATCGTAGGTGATGGAACAATGTTAAAATAAGGGGCCTGGCTGAGAGCGTTACAACCGCAGAAATCCCCCACCTCATCCGAAGACTGCTATCCAGCTTATTCACGCCAAAACAAGCCAAAGCCAAGTTGCTGGAGGGGTGCTACAGGCGGCCACAACCGCAGGCGAACTCCCAGCAAACCAGCAGGGATGTAATAGTGTGTTTTCAGCACGGGCTGGACAGGCAGGCCTTCCTGTCAGCGGTCCGCAACACCACTCCTTACCAATTTGGGGGACATTCCTTATTATCCAACCCAGACATCTCCAGGGCCACAATGATATGGTGGAGATCCATGAGACCACTTACCACAGTGCTGATGCAACATAGGAAACCCTACAGATGGGGAGCACCACGAAGTCTTTTGATACCTAATGAGACTGAGACTCTTAGAGTTGCCGACATATCCGAAATGGGCTCCATTCTTCAACAACTTGGTCTCCCCCCTGCAGAGATGGGGACGCAACCACTAGTGCCTAAGCCAAAGTCGCAGACATGGGACCTGGCCACTATCCGCCCTTTTGTCCCGGCTACCCAAGGGAGCATCAACGCCACCACCGAGACAACTTGAATGTGCTACACTACCACGCAATGCTTGCAAAACTGCTTTTATCCAAGTTATTGTTTAATATGTTGCACTGTTAATTACATAATTAGGTACATAAGCATGCATAATGTGCAGGCAGAGAGCTGTCCCTCGAGACATGTCTCACCAAACCCTCACCCGCTGGCTCTGGGGTATAAGTACCCCTTTCTTTCTCCATACCACCCCGATCATCGATCTCAGCACTAAGTTACATGTTAAAAGGGGTGTTTCGCCTCTTGTGCTTTAACCACAAATGTTAATGTCCTACACTCGCTGATCCCAAGAGGCTCATAGCGATTACTGCCCTGTGACAACATATGATTCTACCGATGACCTTCCAAAGACGGGCAGCCGGCATAGTTTAGCTGAGTTGATTAGCCACTGTTTCCTATAGTTTTTACGATAAAACCTTCAGACCTAATGTGTTCCACATGGTTAAGTATGAGAGAATAGGCAGGTTTGTTATATACTGTTATGCATGCTCCTAAAAACGCCTTGCATATTATCTTAACGGCACACTACCTCCAGTACACACAAACTGGTCTGTGAGCCACTCTTAGCCCTGTTTAAGATAACCTGTTTTATTGCACTGCTAATTAGTACACAGCTTAACTCATTTATGCTAGCAATAATACCAAAATGTGCATGAAAAGTATTTGCCATGTGAATGTAATATTTTGTATAATGGAACGCTTGCATCCGCTTTCGTGGCAATGCAGGCCACCTGTACACAACCAGCACAATAAAGATAAAGAATTTAAAAAAAAAAAAACTCTTTGGTTGCTTTTGCAGTATGCTTCGGGTCATTGTCCATCTGCACTGTGAAGCACCGTCCAATGAGTTCTGAAGCATTTGGCTGAATATGAGCAGATAATTTTGCCCGAAACACTTCAGAATTCATCCTGCTGCTTTTGTCAGCAGTCACATCATCAATAAATACAAGAGAACCAGTTCCACTGGCAGCCATACATACCCACGCCATGGCACTACCACCACCATGCTTCACTGATGAGGTGGTATGCAGTTCATTTCCTTCTCCATACTCTTCTCTTCCCATCACTCTGGTACAAGTTGATCTTGGTCTCATCTGTCCATAGGGTGTTGTTCCAGAACTGTGAAGGCTTTTTTAGATGTTGTTTGGCAAACTCTAATCTGGCCTTCCTGTTTTTGAGGCTCACCAATGGTTTACATCTTGTGGTGAACACTCTGTATTCACTCTGGTGAAGTCTTCTCTTGATTGCTGACTTTGACACACATACACCTACCTCCTGGAGAGTGTTCTTGATGTGGCCAACTGTTGTGAAGTGTGTTTTCTTCACCAGGGAAAGAATTCTTCGGTCATCCACCACAGTTGTTTTCCATGGTCTTCCAGGTCTTTGGGTGTTGCTGAGCTCACCGGTGCATTCTTTCTTTTTAAGGATGTTCCAAACAGTTGATTTAACCACACCTAATGTTTTTATCTCTCTGATGGGTTTGTTTTGTTTTTTCAGCCTAATGATGGCTTGCGTCACGGATATAGTGACAGCTCTTTGGATCTCATATTGAGAGTTGACAGCAACAGATTCCAAATGCAAATAGCACACTTGAAATGAACTCTGGACCTTTAATCTGCTCCTTGTAAATGGGATAATGAGGGAATAACACACACCTGGCCATGGAACAGCTGAGCAGCCAATTGTCCCATTACTTTTGGTCCTTTGAAAAGTGGGAGGCACATATTCAAACTGTTGTAATTCCTACACAGTTCACCTGATTTGGATGTAAATACCCTCAAATTAAAGCTGAAAGTCTGCAGTTAAAGCACATCTTGTTCATTTCATTTAAAATCCATTGTGTTGGTGTATAGAGCCAAAAAGATTAGAATTGTGTCTATGTCCCAATATTTATGGACCTGGCTGTATGTATGTATGTATATATATATATATATATATATATATATATATATATACACACACACACACACACACACACACACATATATATATATATAAAATTCTTTAAGTGTATATATAATTCTTTAAGTGTTTTGTATATATATTATCTGTGTCTCCTTCCATTCACACTCAGTTTTAATCATTCTTGTTTCTATGTATTCTCGATCCTTGTCACCCTTGTTTTCACCCACCCTCAATTTTAGACAACCTTGCTTTTGCTGACCTTCTGTTTCAATCAATCATTCACACTTTCAGTTTTTAGCAGTATATTTAAATGCTGTTATGTATGATTTTGTCATCTAGATAAAAGTCCTGAATGTTGACTGAAATGATGATCCTACTGTAAATTGCATTTGTCTTCTCCAATAAAACAGCATTGCGTTTTGAATCAAAGATCTGCAATTGCTCTCCTTTCTGTTCTATTGTTACCAAGGTTCATAGAAGAGAGGCAAGATTTGATATTTGGGGAGACAATGAATGCCTAGCTCAGAATTGTTAAGGAATAGTGGCATGATCGTTGAAAGAAGTCTCTCATATAGACTAAAACATTCCCATATCATTTGCACAAGAAAGCTTAATAAAAGCAATAATGTTACTGTATTACACATTTCCATTTTTTATCCTTTTATTATTTTTGCTGGTCAGAGGCATACAAGATTACCTGAAGAAACAGAGATTTGCAGTAATTTAGAAAGGTCCTTATTTTCAAAAGAAAGCATTTTTTTTGTCCATTAAAATAACATCAAATTGATCATAAATACAATGTAGACCTGGGTATTGTTATAAAATGATTATTGTACCTGGAAATTGCTGATTTTAATGCAATATCTACATAGGCATACAGAGGACAGTAATCAGCAACTATCTGTCCTGTGTTCCAATGGCACGCTGTGTTTCCTAAGTTTATCATTTAAAAGGCTAATTGATTATGAAAAAAAAACCTGTTGCAATTTTGTTAGTACAGCTGAAAACTGTAGTACTGATTGGACTGGTTGAGTATCTGGATTAGCAGCAGCAATTGTGGGTTCAATTACAGGCTGACGATGGCCAAAACAAAGAACTTTCTCCTGAACCTGTCAGTCTATCGTTGTTCTGACAAATGGAGATAGTTCCATATGAGAAATTGGCAAGAAACTGAAGATCTCTACAATGCTGTGTACTACTATTACCACGGAACAGCAAAAACTGGTTCTAACTAGAATAGAAAGAGAAGTAGAAGATCATAGTGCACACCAGAGCAAGAGGACAAATACACTGCAGTGCAAAGTTTGAGAAACAGACTCCTCACTAGTCATCAACTGGCATCTTTATTATAAAGTGCTCACAAAATGACAGTCTCAACATCAACAGTGAAGAGGCGACTCAAGAATGCTGGCCTTCTAGGCAACGTTGCAAAGAATAAGTCATATCTTAGAATGGCCAGTAAAAAAAAAAAAGTTTAAGATAGGCAAAAGAACATAGACACTGGAAGGAGGAAGATTGGAAAAACATGTTATGGACAGATGAATTTAAGTTTGAGGTGTTCGGATCGATCACAAAGAAGACGATTTGTGAGATGTAGCCATAATGAAAGTGGTTGAAGCAGTGCTTAATGCCATTTTCACTCATGTGGCGGCAGTGTGATGCTAAGTAAAGTGAACTTTAGGAAGGAAGGTTATTACTTTAATGTGCAAAGCCATGCCATACCCTGCTGACGGTGTTTAATTGCAGCCACTTTTCCTTTTTCCAGGACAATGACCCAAAGCACAGATCCAAACTATGCAAGAAGTATTTAGGAAAGAAGCAGTTAGCTGATATTCTGTCTTTAATGGAGTAGCCAGTCCAGTCACCATATCTCAATCCCATTAAACCAATCCAACTTGTCAGAAGTGCTTTAGGAAGGATGGGACGAAATTTCTTCAGATTAATTCAACAAATTGACAACTAGCATGTCAAAGGTCTACAAAGCTGTAAATAATGGCCACTGAGTATTCTTTGATAAAAGCCAAGTTTTAACTTAAAATCCAATATTTCTAACCTTGTCAATAACTATATTTCCTATTCAAGCTTATTTTATGCATGCTTTCATGAAAAATAAGGACATTTCTGAGTGGCCCAAGCTGTATATATATATATATATATATATATATATATATATATATGCATACACACACCCACACCCACACACACCACAAAATATATACAATATTGGCCCCAACAGCACCCTATAATGTATGCATGTTCAGGTGAGTGCAGCCCTCTTGATTATATATTATTTACACACACACACACACACACACTTAAAATTATGTCAATCTCTAATCTAGAAACTCATATCTAGGAGTACAGGAAAATGTAGAAATGAGGCGATTTATTATTACTATTCAATATATAGTTGGGAGCTATGAGATCTTTATTTATTTAGTCTTATTTTATCAAGATAAGGTTTAGAGTTTAAAACTTAAAGAGAGAGCTGTAGAGTTGTATTAATTAACATTTCCTTAAATTGATCTGGGGGTACTTTTTCTTTAAAAAATAAAAAAAAATGTTTCCTTTTCCCCTCTTTTCTCCCGTTCTCTTTTATTTGTTTAAAAATGTATGCGGGTACAATTTGATTATACGTTACAGATGTATATCATTAGGAATATTCTATAAGCTGTTCTATTAGATCTTAAATTAATTTGTAAATAGATTCCTTATAGGATTATATATGTGTCAAAGTCATCTATAATATCGAGTGTGCTTCAGGTTTAACCATTTCAAGTGATTATTTCTTTGATTTTCTAGGGATATTTCCTCAAATTTAGTACGGAAGTGTAAATGTATCTTTATGGTGTAAAGTTTAGTTTGAACATGGATTACATTATTTCACTTAAATGTGTTTATTTTCTAGATTCAATTTCATGTAAACTTTTACAAAATCTTTTCTCTCTGTTTTTATTTTTAAATAAAAAAAAATATATATATTTTTTGAATTTGTTTTTTCCCCAATCACCCTAGTAGTGTTTCTATTCAAATTTGTACTATATATTTATTTTCTTTAAAGTGTCAGGAATGTAAGTTAAAGTAAAATTACTATCCCAGATTACATCAGGAACTTTTTACCTATATCAACAATTATTGTTCTGTTATTCTAAAGATTTTACTTATATTATTTGTATATATCAGAGTGAGCTTATATTACTTTGGAATTTGGGCCTTCACAAATCATATATGGACCTCATTATATCTGTATTCGCTATAATTAGAATTATGAGTATGTAATCCCATATCTTGATCGTAGAAGGGTATATAGATACTATAGTAAGAGACTTTTGTTCTAAAAATTCAACTTGCATTGCACAGGAGAAGATAAGAGATGAAAATGAAGCGATAAAGTATTCCAAAAAGACTCTCCTTGACATCCACTATAATGGTTTAGTATCCTAGGACTAAACCCAGTTTAGCCAGATCTTCTGTAGGATCGTCTGTATCAAAAGCTTAGTGGGAAAACCCCATCTATATGAGATGTTATTATTTCTTAATGTAATAGTCAGATCTTTAAATCGTTTATGACTACTTCTTGTGGCTAATGAAAGATCTAGAAACATAGAAATTTCAATATATTTGGAATTCTGTGGCTCATTATACCGGGCCTTCATCAGAGAGTAATTTACTGCACAGTTCAGGAAACGTGCTATCACATCTCTTGGTTCAGATGTTTTCATATTAATAGGTTTCTGAATTCTGTGAACTCTTTCAACAGGAGTTGAACCGGATTCTTGTTGATCCATAAACTGTGCTATTTACTCCTTTAGATATTTATCCAACTTGTCTGGCTTAATGTCTTCTGATATACCCATAAATCTCAAGTTGTTTCTTCTTGATCTGTCTTCAATTACGGCAGTCCTGGTTTCAAGCATTTTAACCTGATTTTTTAGGAGCATATTTTGAGTTTGAAGAAATTTTACTTCCTCCCGTATATCTTTTATTGTTTCATCCTGTGTTATTACTTTTTGCTTCAATTCAATCACATCTGTTTTTTGGATATATGAGATTTAAAATCATTACAATTTTTTTTTTTTGTACAGATCATCCAGGGCTTCAAGAAGAATTTCCTATGAGACCTTTTTACTTTTAATATTTAGTTTTTCTGGTTGTCCAGATGCATTGGAGGCATTTAAAGTATCATGGTGTACCGGAGAGATTGATCCTTTATGTTCCTTTTGTGGTGCAGTATTTGTTTTTGGTGAGAAAAAAGTGCTGGTATTGTTGGGCTTGAGCTCTTGAGTTTTATCTTTTATTCTGACCCATTTTGCTTAACGGATTACGCCTTTAAGCTTCAGATGCTTCTTTCCCTTTCTCGTTCCTTGTCGTACTCTTTTCCCTTATCCTCTTCTCTTTTTTCTTTTTTCCCCTCTTTCCCACTCACCTCTTATCTCACTTCACTTAACTTTTTCTCTCTGATATCCAAAGTTACAAGTGACACAAAGGTGTAAATATGCTGTTACAGCAACAGTTATCTTGTATGCTTGATTAGATTTAAAAAGTTTTCCTCTTTTTTTTCTCTCTTTTTTTTCTTTTTTCCGCCTCTTTTAATTAGTGAGTAAGTTCTGATTCACTATATATTATTTCAGTAAGCCCTATATGAGTTTCTCTCCCAGTTTCTACTCAGCTTTCTCCCCTTACATACACACACACACATATTATATATATAATATATATATATATATATATATATATTTTTTTTTTTTAATATACTTTTAAAAGTCCCTGGAGTCGAAAATAGAGACAAGGGAAAACAAGGAAAAAGTACTGACAACAAAGCAAAAAAAAAAAACCCCCAAAAAAACAGGGAAACCAACAGGAGGATCTACCAAGAAATGTAAACCCTCAAAAGTGAGCTTGAGATATTAGCAGCAGTCCAGTAGCATTTAAAATTAGCTCTAAGTATTTGCACACAAGACATCCTCTAACCCCTTCAGTATAAGAACAAAGCAACATTCAAAACCCTAATATGAGATGTACTTAGTTCGGGCCGAGGATTTCTCCTCATCTTCTCCCAATCTTGAAGCAGCAAATC